TTACCTGATTTACATAATTAGTTTTCAGCTTTTCCATCAATATCTTATGTACAAGTAATTTTGAATTAATTTTTAATGTGTCTTCAATACTCTCAGCACACGGGAGTTCTTTCTAAGCTTTCTTTGATCAAAATGTGAAATGGGAGAGTGATAATTAACTCCTCTGGGTCTTAATTTGGGTGATTGTTAGGCGAGTGGAGTGAATTACTCACCTTAGAAAGTACGATGTGAACTGAATGTCAACAACATATGAAGTAAAGTTTGTGTGGACAGCATTGCAAGATAGAGAAAATGTTCCGTAACATGCTTTTCTGTTATAATATACATTTTGTATTATATATATATTTCAGGTTGAAACTTTGTTGAAAGAGAACCGACCTGTGCGCAGAGCCGATTCCAGTGGTTTGGATGCACAGTATAAATGTTGTGAGACAATAGTCAATAGATTCCTATCTATGGAGCTTAAAGAAGAAGATCTAAACAAGTTTCTCAAAGATTTTGTGATTCCTGCGTCTAAAGATCTCAAACACAAGGAGTACTAAATGCCAAGCTGATGACGTTCTATTCTCTAAATCAGTATAAATTCAAGTTGAAATCTGTGATTGTCAGCATGTTTGAATGCTTGCTTCCCATTTTATTGTTTTTTCAAATTTCATTTCTCCAAATATGTCACACAAGACTTTAGGCATCAATAAAAATGATTGAGTGTTACACTGATAGAATGCTTGAATGCATCACAATGCCAATTATTATTATACATCTGTCACTGTAACGCCATAAGTTACAGCGTGCTGTAATTTTGTGGGGTATTTTCATCCTACCATATTAGGAAATGCAAATTCCAAATATGGAATCATTATGCGCGTAAGCGTCCTCTAATAATAGAAACAAACATGGATGTCACCAGAGTTTGACCGGACTCCTCACATAGAAGTTCACTAGTACTGTTCAAAACATTTTGGATTTCAGCATTTCCATGGGGTATCCTTGGAAAAAGATGTATAACAATAAGGTTATTATGAGGATACCTCAAAGTAGACACTCTGACAGTACGCCGTTGCATCAACTTCCGCTGCGCATTGGTCGATACTCCAGCTGTACTGTCTTCGTGCATACTTTGAGGTATCCTCGTAATAACCTCATTTTAACACGTCTCAATTTGTATTATCTTGTAATTTACTGATTTGAAAGAATTTACAATAAAAACAAATTTACTTTAGTTTCAATTTCATTATACGTAAACAATTTTTAACTACCATTTTGAGTTTTTAATTGTCAGAAGTTTAACGAAAACCTATTCTTTCTGACGCATGCAGGTCAATCATTTGGCAATAAACAATTATGCATTATCACTGAAAACAAACAAATAAAAATTAATGTAAACTGTTCTATTTCAGAATCAGAAAATAAAAAAAAAATGGCCAAAAAGTTGTTTGTGTACTTTTATTTGCCAATTTATGCTATAAATCACAAGGGATTATGGGTAATGACAGGCCGTGTGTAAGAGGTGTACATTTAGTTGAATAAATACAATCCATCGATACTTGAAAACAATATCAGATTAATCTTACTTAAACATACTCTTATTGAACATGTGCACCTCAAAGAGGATGAAACAGCTGGCTGTACTTTTCATGACCACTCATTCTGCATGACTGTTTTCTATCGACTGACACTGACTGCTTATACTGACTGTGTGTGACCCAGCACACTTAGGTTCCTGTAAGACACCATTATGTTATCTTACTAGTTTATGATGTCACAAAATCACTATTGCTTTAAGTTGAATATTTG